TTGGTAAAGGGAATACAAGAGTTCTTGGTATACCCTTTAAACTTTGTATAGTTTGTAATTATTCAAAGTAAAAGTTAAAAAATCATTGAGTACCAGCAGTTTTGGATGGCCCACCATGATCATCATTTAAGACTGATTTATAAATGCAACACTTTGAATTATGAATGAAACATTTTCTTTCTAGTCTATTTTTTAGGACTTGAGAGCTTCATTTCATACAGAAGCCCATCACACTACCGTTAAGCAGAGCCATGGGTACTCTACAGCCTTAAAGGTATAAGGAATAAGGAATCCTTTTTGTAATTTTTATTACATAAAATACCACCTGGGCAGAGGTCTACAATATCCTTTTATTCCAAGTACATGATTTTGTTTTAGTAAGATTAAAATGTTGCTCTCTAATTATATCAGGGTTTCTAACATAATTAATATGCAGTTTGAAGTATTTGTGATATAAGGCCAACACTTCCTCCTTTTCTCCACCAAAAGTCAAGCATGTAATAATCTCAGTTAGTGTACTAAACTGAATGTCTCTTGCCATAATCTCACAAGAAACCATATCATATATCCGGGAAAACTCATAAAGCATATGTTGTCACTCTCAAAAAAGCAAGGTGTTCCATTAAATTTGAAAGGCAGCATGAAGCACCTTGCAGATTATATTCAGGTTAGACATATATGTCAAAATGAATCAAGATCCATTATCCTTTTACAATGTATGATGACAAATAAATTGATGTAATCTGACATTGGTAAGAGTGAACTTTATCTCCATTCACTCCAGAAATCTCTCTAGCGCCCTTACCTCTAAATAATTGCTCTCTTCATAATTCAAATATATAGGAATACAACGTACAACATTTTCTATTACTGAGTAATCAGAAGGAAGATAGACATGAAAGAAACTAGTCATGGCTTTTAAAACTAATGGCTCCATTATTAACGAAACTGTCAGAAATAAAATGAGGCATAGGAGTATACATGTACAGCTGTAGTTTTACAACTTCACTTGATACTTTCATTAAATATTAGTTTCAATAAGCATTATTTCACAAGAAGAAATAACAGCTTTAAAAACAAATAAAAGAACAAATTTTATGCCATTGTTCCTTGATTCTTTACTAACCAAGAAAGGGAAATTGAAAGTGGAATTTCCTTATGTGCTGCTTTATTGGAAACCCTCTTCATTCTTTCTGAAATCTATACTTTTGTGAAATAGTATTATTCTTTAACAGAAACACACTCATATAATCAGATGTATTACACCCAAGTGTTCACTTTATTTGAAACATGCACATGCGTTCCCAGTAATAGATCAGTGTTTAATTATCAAGATGAAATTTTTGCTGACATGATAGTTCTGTAGGACAAAACAAATGAGTCAGGAAGAACTATATTCTAAATTTAATTTTCTATATGAAAATGCATCTTAAAAAAACCTTCTTTCAGAATGCCACAGGGAATTTTTTATAGTTGTTAGTTTTACTACAACTTGTTCTTTCATAAATATGAGCTCAACTGAAATATTAACTAATTTTTCAAACAAAATTAATGCACAAATTTGGGATAACTGGGCTTGCAAACATAGAATGATACAAGCAGACCCTATTCAAATCTTCTTTCTGCATGTAAGCCTCCCAACCTGTTTTAAGCCTCTTTGCAGGGATATCTGCTATGGAGATGTCATTGTAGGACATCCATGATTTGACCACAATGGCAAATGGTGAGTCAGAGCATGTAAAAAGCAAGATACATCTATGATAACTGATAAGGTATTTTCTAACTCAAAGTGTACATGGTTCTATGTTTTCTGTAAAGTTAGAAATGGTATTTCTTTATCATGTAGTTTTATAGTGTGGTTTATAAAAAACTTTCTGTGATACACTTGAGGACAAATTCGAGTTTAAGAAATAATCTTTGGTAAATTGAGAAGAAGAATTAAGGAAATAAATCATTTTATAATTTACAATGAAGATCCAAAGTATCTAATTTGAAAGAAAAATCATAAAATACTTTGTTGTTATTTTTGCTTAATCTTTGAATATGTATCACTGAGTATACTTCCATTCATTACCTATGTTGTCAGCACATGTGTGCCAAAAAGAAAAAAAAAAAAAAGATTAACTAGAGTTCTGACCTTTGCCCTTGGCTTTTGAGATTTTATTTCAAAGCCCTTGGAATTTCTTCCATAATAAGAGTGGCTAACAATGTAATTTATGGTGGGGGATATTGGACTACTGAGTGTCATCTTAACTTCTGCACAAGGTGGAGACTACAGTCAGCAATATAATTGGTCAACCACACCTATATGACCTGCCCCAGTACAAACTCTGGGCACCAAGGCCTAGAGGAGCACCTCTGATTGGCAATATTCCATGCATATTGCTGCTTATCATTGCAGGGAGAAAAAGTGTTGTCTATACAACACTACTAAGAGAAAACAACTGGAAACTGTTCTTAGTGTCTGCCTGCTATATGTGTCTCTTCCTTCTGCCAATTTTAATTTGTATACTTTCACAATAATAAGTTCTAATAGAGAATAAAACAGCTTTTCTGAGTTCTGTGATTCTTAGTAAATTTTCAAACTGAGAGGTGGTCTTGAAAATCTCCAAATTTGCACTTGGTGTCAGGACTGAGGGTGATCTTGGGATTTCCAAACTTTACAACATCAGTGGTCACTTCCCCTTTTAACTGCATGAAATCATGAACTAAATTTATTTTCTAGGAATAATTTTTTTTCTGTTTTGGAGAGGTGAGTGGGGGGTAAATAAGAAATTGCTTCAATCTAACAATCTCATTTTCTCATCTATGTAATGAGAATAAAAGTGCATTTCACACAAAATGTCTGTGACAATTCAGGTTTATTTATTTATTTATTTATTCATTTATTTTTTGGATGGGGTCTCGCACTGTCACCCATGCTGGAGTGCAGTGGTGCAATCTCTACTCACTGCAAGCTCAGCTTCCCAGGTTCAAGCGATTCTCCTGCCTTAGTCTTCTGAGTAGCTGGGATTACAGACGTGAGCCACTACACTCGGCTAATTTTTTATTTTTGGTAGAGAAGAGATTTCACCATATTGGCCAGGCTGATCTCAAACTCTTGACCTCAAGTGAGCCGCCCACCTTGGCACCCCTCAAAGTTCTGGGATTACAGGTGTAAGCCACTATGCCTGGCCAAGCTTTTAAAAATACGTAAATTTTCTGTAAAATAAACCTGGCATGTGGTGTGGTGCGAACTCAGTAAATGTTAGAATCTAACATTTCTTTCTAACTTTTTATTTTATAAAATCATAATTTACTTCAAGGACATTTATAGGAAGGCAGTAATATGTTAGAAAAAAACAAAAAAAATTTAATAGAAACCGTTTTTATGGAGGTATACGTTTTACACTGTTAAACCTCTTGCAATATGTAAATAGTATACGACATGCAAATAGTATATGACACATGAAGAAATAAAAGCAACACATTTTGTTGAAAATTTTCCTTCACGTTATTTATCATGCAGTTATTTTATATTAGAATGTGATTTAGGAGAGAAAATCACATAGAAAGTAACTCTTATTTTAATGTATTAAATTTCATATAATGCAACCTGTGAATATTATGATTATAATTCAAAATTTTTATATATCTGTAATAACTTTGAAGCGCAGTTAAGACTGAAATCACATATACTATACCATAATAATTCATTAAACTTTATAATCAATTAACTTTGGTTTGTACTAAAAATTACTGTTCTTCTTTTCTTATATGTTATTCTAATTTAACCTAATAATTTCCTGTCATTGCTGCTGAAAATCAATGTGTGTATGTGTATGTACGCTAAATTATATGAAAATATACCTAAAACCCTGTTTTGAGGATTCTGTTTCCATAAGTTTGTGAGCTTTATGTGTCTGCATAACAGCATTCTGCTTATTTTTTTCTCCCACTTGATATAACTCTGTGCAGTTCTGAGACCTGCCGTGATTGTGCTGGGAGTTATTTACAGAAGATGGATTTCTTCTGTTGAGAATACAGAACACAAGCTTTCCTTATTGTTCTGGACACCTCACCCACTACACCATACATTTTCTCTGAGGACAGAAGTAAATAGCACAATTTCTTCTCAAAGACTACTAGCTGTTTTTGAAATGTGAGGAAGCTCGTGGTAAATGGGCAGAATGTTAGAAATAAATAAGAAAAATGAACCAGGAGAAATAAATATTTAATGGTTTATTGTCTCATTCATTTACATGGAAGCATTTTTTTGCCACGGCTACAGGTGACAAAAAAAATTGCCAGTTTAAAATATTCCTGAAAAAATAGTATTAATTTCATCATCAACCTGAAAAGGCACTTATGGCAAACTTGTTAAAAAGTGCACACTGAAGATTGATTTACAATTTATCTTTTCTTGATTTATTGTATTTACAATCCTGGGAATGTTATTTTATTATTGTTAAATTTAATTTTTATGATCTTTTTTCAACATGTATTATTTATACTAAAATTTTTGTAATAAATATTGTATAATTCAGAGATTAAAGATGAAGGAACAAAATCTTGGAATTTTTTTAAATGTTACAATAATTTTATCCAACTGAATATAGCCAAGTCCATGGTGAAGCTTTACTTACTTGATGAACTATTAGCACGTGTTCAGCAAGTACTTTCTTCTTAGCCAAAGTAATGGAAAGAACATGAATTGTCTTTCTACATGCTGAATGATTAAACCAAAAACGGAATAAAAATAGAGGAGTAGCATTAGAATAAGTCAGCAAATTTAACCAAGCCAAGAGATAATGGCAAATTATATTTTCCAAAGATGGGCACACCCTCACATATTCCACCCTAACATGCTATGGCAATATGAAACTGAATACCTCTCCCCTTGATTATGGGCTAAACCTAGTAATGATTCTAATAAATGGAATGCAGCAACACTTTATGACATCTCCATATAGATCATAAAAGATAATACAACTTCCATATGGTTATCTCACCCTAGGTTATGCTCATGGAGAGATCACAGTCACTGTGGTCTGAAGAAAACATGTTGCCACACAGAAAGAACACATGTCAGTTTTCTGGTAGTAATGCCAGATGATAAACAGCTTCAAGTACCAGACTTGTGAGTGAGTCTCTGATGATTTCTGCCCTCAGCCTTCAAGCCTGTTCTGCCAAGCGTAATAGATAGGAGCTTTCCCCGCAGAAGTCTACTAAATTATAGACATTTGAGGAAAATAAATGTCATTGTTTTAAGCTATTACCTTCTAGAATGTTTTTATTTGTATTTTTTTAAATCTAGCAAAAATAATAGGAATGGATGAAATTTAGGGCAAGTTTGAGACAAGGATATACTTATTTGTTATTAAATATTCAGAGTAGAAATACTACAAACTAAGGTTAGCTCTACTAACTCATAGTCATGATATTCGTACACATTTAACACAACTAATATTAAGTCTACAAATCCCCATCTGAGCCAAAAACATATACACATAACAGAATAAAGTAATCATCAGTTTTATAATGATGTAACCAGTATTACATAAATTGGGTCAAATATAGCATAATTATATTAATCATAAATATCTAAAATGGTGTAACGGTTAAGCTTTTATTCCTTTATGTTGTCTGGAAGATTGCTATATTTCAAGAACTTGTCTTGAAATACTTAACAGTTAATTGCTTTGTGTTCCTCCGAATGTGGGAAATATTATTTTCTATTCTTACTCATACTTGTAGTACTTATTCTAAAGCACAGACCTATTGTAAATTTAATTTTGAATATTTAAATGTCCCATCTATTTTAAGTAAATCACCTGAACTCGAAACTTATGATGCATAGAGGATAGTATGACAATGTTTCTTCATGTGTTTTTTCTTATATGTATTTTCAAATAAAACCACCTATTTCATTAGAGAAGATAAGCAGGGCTATGCTCTTATATATTCATGACATGATTCCCTAACATAAAATGGAGAGTATCTATGGATAGTATAGAATTTCCATCCTAAATGAATGGAGTTACACCCCCTTCTCTCTTTACCCATTTTTCCACAAGCTACCATCATTTTTTGTTCATTTCTTCATTTTGAGATTGTAATATGATACAACTAAACAGCAGGAACTAATCTACTAATCTTATTCTAGAAGAAAAAGAGAATTAGTTATTTGACTGCTTGCAAATGCTGCTGTCTGCTTCTCACTCGCCCTGTCTATAACCTCTCCCTTCATTTGCAGAGAAACTGTAGCTCCAACTGAACCTCATCTTGCATTAAATGTTGTGCACACGTGAGGAGAATCACATGGTTAGCACCAGGCTTTGCTTTGATGGAGATGTGTTGCTTTTTCAAGCTTTGATGGTCATTCCTAATCTTCAGCTGCAAGGTGTAAAACATTAAGGGATCTCCTTGATTATTTTGTCCTGTGTGAAGCAATAAACAGATGCTGATGCTGATTGAAAAAAAAAAAAAAGAATTAGTTTGCACTCTGCATATGCATATTAAATCTGCTCCAAAATCATATTGCTTAGGCTGAGAGCTTAAAAGCACCGGAGAACTAGTAGAAAACTTGCTTTCTGCACTCAGAAAAGTGTCAAGCATGCTGCCAGTGATGATAGGTGGTTGTTTATAGGTAAATGTTTTCTATCATAGAAGAGGTTGTTTCAGTTTTCCTTTCCTAATCCCAAATCCTCATTTTGAAGTCATCCTGGTTATAGAAGAAACATATTTATTACTTTTTATTCCACCTCAAGCAAAATTAACAAAATCAGTGGATTTTACTTATATACTCTTCTAAGGCCCATTGGCAAAAATAATTATAATTTACTAATAGTATCACTGGCCTCAAATTTAGATAAAATTTTCTAATGAGCTCAAAATAATTTTATTTCCCCCAAATGTCCTCAGAGATTTCTACAAAATAAGTAAAAACTATTAGTACTTCAAATATAGAAAAATTAAAGAAAATGAATTTCTGGAGGACATGTAATACAGCAGTAAATTATAGACTTATTGAGATAGTTGTTCAATAATGGTTTATTACAATTGAATTGCTCACTTTCCATCCTAAAACCTTCCCTCCCTCTTTTCCCCTTCCTTCTGTCTGCTGATGTTAAATTAATACTTACTATGTTTCAGATACCGAGGATCTGGGGGTACAGAAGTGGGTTATTTGTGATCACTGAGAAGTTTGAAAAAAAGGAGATTAATCACACAACTCCACTGCAGTAGAGTAAGTGTTACACTGAGAGCATGAACGAAGTGCTCTGGAAGCATATAAGAAAGACTGGTGAACTCTAAGAGGGTCTGGGAGGAAAGTTAGGAATACAGAATCAGGGGAAAGGGAATAGAAGTCAGAACTAGAAATGAGGTTGATCTTCATTATTTGTTAATTCCATATTTGTGAATTTGCCTACTCATTAAAATTTATGTGTAAGCCCAAAGTCAATACTTTTGAAAATGTCATCGACATTTGAAGAAATGTGCAGAAGGAAAAGGAGTTGAGATTCCCGACATGCATCGTCCTCACTGAAGTCAGACAAAACTATGCTCTGCCTTATTATTTCAGTTCTTATACCGTAAATGTGTGCTATAAAAGGTTCATCTAAAGCCACAATTTTGTGAGTTTTTTTGGTGATTTCACTGTGTAAAACAATCCCAAGCATAGTGCTGAAGTTCTTCATAATCTCCCTAAATACCAGAAACCATTGATTTACTTTTTGGAGACAATTTGTATGTTAGATAAGCTTCATTCAGATATAAATTATATTCCAGTTACATGTATTACTAAATACTGCAATTTTAATCAGGAACACACAAAAACAAACTTATGTTATTTAAGAATTTTTAATAATGTTGTGACCAAAGGCTCACAGAAACCTAGCCCTATATCTCCCCTATGAACAATTGTTTAGAATTAACTAATTGTTTGCAGTGACTTTATAAAACATAACTACTGTGAATAACAAGGACTGACTGGATGTGGTATCTCAAGCAACAAATTTTTCTAATTCCAGGGATATTTTTTTTCTATCTCATTCACAAGTATAAAAGACAGTGCTTTGGTCTTATTTACCTTTTTACTGTCAGTAAAATGCTCACTATATACTAATAATACATGGTCTTTGAATTTTTTTGTATCGTAGAAGAGTGAAGGATGTGGATGCTGAAAAGAAGCAATTGGCTTATTAATATCTAATTGGCCTGAATATAAATTCTCTAAGGCCTTTTTTATAATCAAGATTTTAGAGAAATTATAATTTTATTACAAATTGCCCTTGGTTAGATATCCTTAAGAAATACATTTTCTAAGAGAATCTGCTTAAAACATGTAACTGTCATGTGTCAAATTTGGGAGTAGTAGAAGAATTGTTTTCAGTTTGATGTTTATGTCAAGCTACAAGCCACATTTTTGGTTGTCATTATGTGCTATATTTCCTGTGCTTGGAAGAAGCACAATAAGTCATGCTGAAAATCAAAGCATACATGTAATCGGCTTGTCGAAAATATGGTGCTCCAGAATGTTCAGTTTGTCGAAAAGGTATCTGAGAGAATGTTCAGTTTGTAGGAAAGGTATCTGAGAGAATGTTCAGTTTGTAGGAAAGGTATCTGAGAGTTATAAAAGGCCAGAAGACATTACACACACACACACACACACACACACACACACCACATATAGACACACACAGATAAGTGAGTGTATATATATGTGTATGTGAGTGTGTGTGTATATATATATATATGCATGTGGGGTGTGTGTGTGTAGAATATTTACACATATATACTAAATTTTTAATGAATTCAATACATTATTTCTATGACTGAATACACAAACAAATGCCATTTAGAAATGCTGACCATGATATTGTTGTCTAGAATTTTTTCGAAGATTAATAATTTGTTTTATTTTCCATTGTAAAAAATAAAGACATGTATTATATGACAGATATTATCTGGAACAGTGGTATGTCAAGCAAAATTCAGAAAACAATGAGCAGATTTATAATGATTTGGAAGGCAATAAGTTTTAGCCTAATGACTGAGTCATTCAAACTTGCTAAAAATTAAACTTAACATTTTCCCATTGTATGACCTTTTCACTTGGTATTCCCTCTATAAGAAATTCTCTCTACCCAGATATCTGTGTAGTTCTTTTCCTCACTTTATTGTGATCTGTGTTTAACTTTATTCAATTTAATTTTTTGTCAATAGAGTGTAAACTTTGTAAGGGGAAGGGCATATCAGTTTTATTCAACACAGCGTTACCAATGTCTAGAATAGTATATAATACGTTATATAATACATAGTTGGCACTCAGAAAATAAGTTAAATGAATTATGCCTTTGAATGTTAGGCATATAATGATAAATTCATATTGAAAATTAGAAGTCACAAAACCTAAAATGAATATGACAGTTTATAGTCCCATTTTGTCCATGATTTCCACTCATATTAACATTAGTTCTAATAGTAAACTATACTAATTAATTACTTATCTGCTTAAGGCACTTTAATATAAAATATTCTAATGATTTTTAAATAGTGACAGATTTAGCCTCAAGAAATGTTTTGCCTAAGGATAAAGAATATATTCTAGACATATTAAAAAAGCATATCAACAAATCTAGGAAAATTTTTCTCATTGGATCATTATCACAATGTATGTGTTAAAGCATAAGACATTTAAAGAACATAAAAAAACAGTAAATTTTTTTCTATCATATTGTGGCTTTTAGAAATCTCTTTAAAGTTAGCATTAAATTTTATACATATGTACGTCATTTCAGATTTATTACATGTAACATACATGTTATATTCTTAAAAAGATATAATTTAAGTAATAAGACATAATATCTAACCCCACGTCTCTTGTAAAGTTTAATGTTCCCAATTAGCTGAATGTATTGTCAGGATATTTTGAAAATTAATGATATTTTCTATGATTACATATATTTATATATGTATACACATAATTATACAATATCACAGCAATTTATAGGTTTTTTACATTAGTAAAAAATGTAAACTAACCATATAAATCAATGCTTGTCTGTGCCTTTATTGTTTAAAGCCAAATGGACTTTTCTCCCAACTCCATCATGGCATTAATACAATCAATAAAATGAAAGGATATATTTTGAATCTTCAGAGTTACAATCAAAGATGGGCTTTGCCACTTAGGATTCTTCTTCCATTGGTAAAGATTTGCATAACCATATAATATATATGAAGAAGAAAGAGCTGTACTTTACAAAGGTCTAAGAATATCTAAAAGAAAACATAACTAGCTTATAGGCATTATTATCTAGAATTAAAAATGTAATGTCTATTTTTCTGTAGAGTAGATAGGTTCCTTGAGCCTTATATTGTCCCTGAACAGATTTTTACTTTCACTTTGTAAAATTAAAATGTCCATTGAGGAAATTTTCCTCCAGAGTCATAGGCTCTTTTCTCCTTGTCACATGTGGGTGCTAAAATGCTTTATCCTTTAACACTGATTTAAGAGAAGTTCCCTCTTTCTCCAGCTACTTATCAATTTTTAGTAAATTAAGTATTTGGAATTCTATCCCGTTTGGATCATCTTGGTTGAAATCAGTCACTGTCACCAATATGAGAAAATACACCCCGAATAAAAAGTGTGATGTACATCAGCTTGCCCAGAGGTTTTTGGGGAAGTCTTGCCCAAAGCACATGGCAAGAATAGAGATCCCAGTCTAGAGATAAGTATAATAGAAAACATATATTTTCTGTCTACAAGAGGTCTTTTTTTTAACATGAATAATATGTCTATTTTACGTGTGTATATCTTAAATATCATTACTTTAAACAAATATGAAAAGAAATAAGTATAAGTAATAATAATATCATTGCTCGGGACAGAAAGTTAAACTTGCTGTCTTCCTAATGAGTACACAGCTTAAATCATTTATAAACAGTTCTGATTTTTTTAGATAATGTATGCCTTCAGGAATCAAGCCAATAATACGTTTATTTGTGAGAATGTGATTCGTTGCTCTAAAACTAGCCAAGAAGTAACAGGTCTAGTTTTTATGCTTCATTCTTAATTAATCAATACCTTTTACTGTTGAGAACAATTGAGCCAGAATAACCATGTTATAAATAAATCACTTAGTCTCAAAATGTTGTATTTCCATAGCTAAATTTGAGAAAGCTGAGATCCATCAAAGAAATTTTTTATGCTTTTTTTTTTAACAAATGCTAGCTAAACTAAGAAAAAAGAGAGATGACTCAAACAAAAGCAGGAATGGAAACATTACACCTAATACAAAAAATTATAAGGGATTGTTATATATTATGTGCCAACTAATTGAACAATCAAGAAAATAAAATAAATTATTAGAAATATATAACCTATGAGTACTGAATCACAAAAGAGTGAAAATCTGAACAGGTCAACATTGAATGAGAAAATCAAATCTGTACATAAATGTCTTTAATCAAAGAAAAACTCCAGATCATTTAGCTTCATGGCTACTGTCTAACACACAGTCAAAGAATAGCAATCCTTCTCAACCCCTCCCAAAAATTCATAGGGAAGGAATAGGTTCATTTTTGAGGCCAGAATTTCCATAACACCAAAGCCAAAGATGTTATAAGGAAAGAAAACTACAGGCGAATACCACTCAGTAAAATAGATTTTTAATCACCAGCAAAATACTAGAAAACCATATTCCATGGTACATTGAAAGAATTGTTCAGCATGATCAAGTCGGATTTATACCTGTAATACAAGGTTAGTTCAACATAAGCAAATCAATGAATAGTGATTCACCATATCAATAAAATAAATGACAAAAGCCATATGATCTCAACAGAATTAGTAAAAGTATTTGACAAAATTTAACATTTTCATCATAAAAAATCTCAAGAAATTACCTGTAGAAGAGCTGTTCCTCAATCAAGAAAGGCCATATATCCCAAGCTCACAGTTAATGAAATACCTAAAGGTGAAAAGTTGAAGATTTTTACTCTAAGATCAGGAACAAGATAAGAATTCTCAGTGTCATAAATTTTGGTAAACCCAGAAAAGGCAGTCCTAGCCAGAACAACTACACACGAGAAAGAAATAAAACACATTCAAACCAGAAACGATAAAGTAAAATTGTCTCTGTTTGAATACGTTATCTTATCTACAAAAAAAAACCTAAAGACTTCACCAAAGAACTGAAGAACCGATATTTCACTTTATTTCCTATTGCTGTTACAAAATATTACAGACTGGGTAATCTATAAAGAAAATACATTTATTACTGTTACAGAAGATGGGGAGACCAAAACTGAGAGGCTACATCTGGTGAGGGCTTTCTTCCTGTGACATAACGTGGCAGAAGGACTTCACATGATGAAAGACAGGGAGTGTGCCTTCTCAGGTCTCTCTTCCTGTCCTCTTAAAGTAATCCGTACTATCAAAGGAGCCCCAGCCAATCTGATGACTGTTACCTTCTAGTCAATCAACACATAAATTTGGGGCTTAAGTTTTAACATGTGGAATTTCAGGGGCACATTCAAACCATAGCTACTAATAAACAAATTTTATAAATTTGTGAGATATAAATTCAACATACAAAATCACTAGCATATTTATACACTAACAGCAAACTCTATGAAAAAAATTAAGAAAACAATACCACTTACAATAGCAAAATAAATATACAAGAGTGAATTTAAATAAGAAGTAGAGATCTGTGTACTGAAAGCTCCAAAAAAAATCTGAAATAATGCCCCACATCTACAACCAACAGATCGTTCACAAACATGACAAAAACAAACAATGGGGAAGGGATTCCCCATTTAATAAAAAGTGCTGGAAAAACTGGCTAGCAATATGTAGAAAGTTGAAACTGGATCCCTTCCTTATACTTTACACAAAAAATAACTCAGGATGGATTAAAGACTTAAATATGAGACCTAAAACTGTAAATACCCTAGAAGAAAACCTAGGCAATTAGGACATTTTAAACAGGTTATCTGGAACTGGCAACATCAACTCCAGTCAGATTCATGTGTCAGAAACCATGGGCATGACCACATTAACTTTAAGGAAGGCAAAAAAAAATAGGGGAAAATTAGAAAATACACAAAAATGTAGAAATGAAACAATGCATTTCTGAACAATCAATGGGACAAAAGTGGAATCAAAATATAAATTAAATATCACCTTGAAGCCAGGTGTGGTGGCTCGTTTCTGGTTTGAATGTGTTTTATTTCTTTCTCGTGTGTAGTTGTTCTGGCTAGGACTGCCTTTTCTGGGTTTACCAAAATTTGTGACACTGAGAATTCTTATCTTGTTCCTGATCTTAGAGTAAAAATCTTCAACTTTTCACCTTTAGGTATTTCATTAACTGTGAGCTTGGGATATATGGCCTTTCTTGATTGAGGAACAGCTCTTCTACAGGTCAGGAATTTGACATTAGCCTGGCCAATACGGTGAAATTCTGTCTCTACTAAAAATACAAAAAATTAGCTGGGAGTGTTGGCACGTGCCTGTACTCCCAGCTGCTCGGGAAGCTGAGGCAGAAGAATCTCTTGACCCCAAGAGGCAGAGATTGCAGTGAGCCAAGATCCTGCCACTGCACTCTAGCCTGGATGACAGAGCAAGACACTGTCTCAAAAAAAAAAAAAAAAAAAAGGAAAAGAAAAGGAAAAGGAAAAAGAAAAAGAAAATTACCTTTAAACAAATAAAAATGGAAACAACATAACAAAACTTGCAAAAGTAATTCTAAGAGGAAATTATATAACAATAAATATCTACATTAAGGAGAAACAAACATCTTGAATAAACAACCTAATTTTAGGTTATTCTGCAAGGAACTAGAAAAGGAAAACCAAACTAAGTCCAAAGTTAGCAGAAGGAAGAAAATAAAGATTAAAACAAAAATGTATTGAAAAACCATAGAAAAAAACAAAAAACCAAAACATTTTTGAAAAGGTGAACAAAATTGATGAATTAGCTAGACTAAAGAAAAGAAGAAGACTCAAACAAATAAATTATAAATGAAAGATGAGACATTAAAACTAATACTACAAAACAGAATCATAAGAGACTATTAAGAAAACTTGTATATCAACATATTGGATAATTTAGAAGAAATTGATACATTCCCATTAACATAAAACTTTCCCAATGCAACCATGATGAAATAAAAAATTTAAATGGACCAATAATGAATCAGAACACTAAATTAGTAATCAAAAATCTCCCCAGAAAGAAAAGCCCCAGGCCACATGGATTTACCAATGAATTTGACCAAACATTTAAAAAATAATTGGCACAAATTCTTATCAAATTATTTCAAAATTAAAGAAGATCACTTCTACATTCCTTCTAACAATCCAGTATTACTCAGATACTAAAACTAGGAGAGGATACCACAGGAAAGAAAATTACAGGCCAATATTCCTGATAAACATAGATGTAAACGTCTTATTCAGTTTGCTAGTAAGATTTGCTAATAAGAAAATAAAATTCCACAGTATGTGAAAGTATCATACAACATGCTCAAGTGAGATTTCTCCCTGGGATAATTTTTTGGTGGGATGGTTCGACACCAAAAAATTAATAAATGTGATATACCACATTAACAGAATAAAGGATAAAAATCATATGAACATCTCAATCGATGCAAAACAAAAAACCGTTTGACAAAATTCTATAATCTTTTGGGGTAAAAGCACATAAAAAATCTAGGAATAGAATAAACGTACTTTAACAATAAAGTCCATATATGACAAGCTCATGGCTAACATTATTTTCAAAGATGAAAAGCTTTCAGCTTTTCCTCTAAGATCAGGAACGAGGCAAGGATGCCTAACCTCACCATGTCTTTTCAGCATAGTACTAAAAGACCTATCCAGAGCAATTAGCCAAGAAAGAGGAATAAAAGGCATTCAAAACAGACAAGAAGCAAAATTGTCTTTGTTGGCAGATGACATAGTGTATATAGAAACCTTAAATATAATACCAAAATACTGTTAGAACTAATTAGCTAGGATTAACAAATCAGTAAAGTTGTAAGATATATCAATATTTGAAAATGAATTGTTTTGATAATTGAAAATGAACTATCTAAAAATAATTTGAGAAAATAATCTCATTTATAATAAAATCAATAAGAATAAAATACTTGAGAATAAATTTAAATAAAGAAGACCTATACATTGAAAACTATAAAACATTGATAAAACATATTAAAATATATGTTACTGAAACACCAGGGATTGGTCTAGGTCCTGCTGCCTGCTGCACAGAAAGCCTGTTACTGAGACAAGTAGTGCCAAGAAAGAAGACTTTTACTGCGTGTTGCAGCCGAGGAGATGGGAGATCAGTCTCAGATTTGTCTCTCTAACAAATTAGAGGTTTATATAGCAAGAAAAAAATGTAACAATGAATCTTTGAAAGGGGAGGGTGAAGATGAGAGAAGTTTCTCAAAGAGTATAAAGTTATGGTTAGGAGACATAAGTTCTAGTTTTCCATCCAACAGTAGGATGACTATAGAAGCAATAATATACTATACATTTTAAAATACTGGAGGATTTTCAATGCTCTCACAATACAAAATGTAATAGACATGCTTATTATTCTAATTTGATCATTACACAGCATATACATGAATCAAAACATTATACTGCACTCCATAAATATGTGTAATCATTACATGCCAACTAAGAATAAAAGAAAAAGAAAAATATTTAACTCATTTAATATAAAGTTATTTTACAATAATACAAGTGACTAATAAAACATACTCCATAGATATTTAAATTTGTATCAACTAAATACCTCAACATTTAGCAGTAAAGTTTAGTTCCTGTTTATAACCAATAAATATACATTATACAAATGGATAAATGAGTGATAAGGCAGTAAATGCAGTAAAGATTTTTAGGCATTCTTATTTCCTGGATAATCAACTTCCTGATGTTCTGAGAAAAACCTTATGTTGGTGTTAAGATTATTTTCATTAAAGTAAATGGGACATTCAAACAGTGAACATGCAGAATATGTTTCCAGTAGAACAAAACTTAATGTTATCTATTGTTTAAAATAAATTAATTTATTGATGTTTTAGGATTTCCATAGCTAATAATCTCACATAATTGGAAAATTCTTTGTCCTTGGAATTTAATACTTTAAAATTATAGGTGCATGTGTTTTTTCAAAAATCTTATCCAGTCACCTGACTGATAATGTAATGACTTTTTTTTCAGATTGAAAAGTGTCTGTGGGTGGGCACAATGAATGACAGGTTTATACTATGAGGAACAGAATGAATCCAGGAGACAGAGACACTGCATTGCCTTCCTTGAATCATCCATCTACGGTGCCATGTTACTCAGAAATTAATGTAATTCCATAAATGAATAATGACGTAAATGTCCTCTTAATAATTGTTAATGCACAAGCATATTCTTATTCTAATAATCAGAAAAATTGATGTGACTATGGCTAGACTCATGTTCTTTTTTCAGTGACTCAACAAAGATACAGCAAAGAAACTAAAAAACAAGAAAAGAATAAAACTATTTCGAATATACAGTGCAGCGTGTAGATTAAATAGCAATGCTCAAATTTTCTAAGGCTGTGGTCCTGAGATTGATAAAAAGAACATTTTTAATATTAGGATCTGTAAGACTGTTTGGCTTTGGGGAATGTCACGGTTATATACAATAACACTGATATGTTAAACATAATATATGAATCATACAGTAAATATTTTATCAAGTATGAAACCAGTCTTATCCATTGTTGACTATATGACAGGAAAACAAATGGGAAGTTGGATTGCAATTAAATACAATTTAGGAGAGAAAACATAGTGCTCGTGCTGTGATTTGGGCGGTTATTCATTCATTAAACATGTGTGCAATGTCTATTTTTTTTTGCCAGCATTTACAAGGTATTGTTGATACATATGTAAAAACTAAATGTTATTGAGGAATTTACTACCTACATGGAGCCTGAAAAGTGTTTCTTTTCTTTTGAATGGTACAATGATATATGCATCATAATAGGTTTTTGTGTAAGGTACCACAAAGCAAATGGAGGAGATAGGACGAGCCCACCTTTTAAGTAAAAGTAATTATTTAGGTATCATAATTGTGTCTGTGAGTTGTGTTTGTGTGTGCACACATGTGTATATGTGTGTGAGTGAGTGAGTGTATGTGTGAGTGTGTTTTAATCTGGCTTATCTTCTAGTTTATGTGGTTATCTTCATCTCCACTCTGTGTGGTTCTGTTGAGACTGTCCATTACTGTATTCCCCTACCATTTATGAGTGAGCCTGTACCCCAACCAAGATGTGTTTCTCAACTCCAAAGCCATTGTATTTAGGTGTGGAATGGTGTCTTATCCAGTTCTTCTCAGAGATTCAGATTGAGACATAAACACTGGAAAAGAGCTGAGATTATTAAATAGAATGATGTCGATGTGGGTTTGCCAGTGAATGTGTGTTTGTCAACACCAGAGAAGAAGAAAACCAGAGACCAGCACAGAGAAGAAAGCCAAAGAGATAGACTTCTTGTCACATTTTTAAGTCCCCAAATTTATGCATGAGTGAAAGGTTTCTGAAAATCCAAGCCTCTAATTCTACCCCAACTTGTTTTATAAAGATGGTTCATGGGTTTACTTGCTATTGAAAATGTCCTGTTAATATAGGTGGGAGTAAAAAGATGGTGAGGAAAACATCCTAGCAATGAAGACATTTAAGCTAAACATAAAGAATAATTATGAATTAACTAGTTGATATTTGAGTGGGTGTGGGCATGCCCTATAACCGAACAAAAATGAATAGCTTGTGTAAATTACAAAATAAGAAAGTGTTCAAGAACTTATGCATGCTGAGACAGTCTAGAAAACAGTCATAGGTAGGAGTTAGTTTAAAAAGAATTTTAAGGCTATGTTGAGGATTTGGAATTTATGTTGAAATTATTGAAAATATCTTAAAGAATTTAACCAGGGGACTCAAGTTGTAAAAATTGTATTTTTATGATGATCTTACTGGAGGATAATGGAGAAAACATTGAAAGCAGGGATGCTACTCAAAGTCTGTTGCATTTCATGTGGTAAGTGACAAAGGCTTAGATTAAAGCATTTTCCAAGACATTTTAGAAGGTAGAATCTATGGTGTTTGCTGCCAGCACCATGTGTGGAGTGAGAAAACAAGGTAGTTATAACCTGACTACCAGGTTTCAGGTTTTGGGTGATACAGTGGTTGAAGAGATAATGGTACAAAGAAGAAAGGACATATGAATAAGGAAGAAATTGTATGTTTAAAGTGACAGATGTATTATCAGTTTAGCTAAAATATGTTTCAATAATTTTTTAGTCACCCACCAAACAGTGCCTGTGAAGTCTCCATCTAAACACATTTGGCATTCCTCAAACATTTACGCATTCACTATCACAAATTTTCAGTTACTTTTTCCTCCAAATCTCTTCTTTTGGACTTTTCCAATGGCAATTCCATAAATATCATGTGTGGCTTCCATTCTGTAATATAACGTCCCATCAGGTACAGATACTGTGGTTTCCGGCCATACATAACTTTTTCTCTGTTTATTCATTTTGCTTCCTCTGGACTATGCTGAATTTTTCCAGTGATTGCCAACCTGTACTAAATGCTTTCATTTTTGCCAGTACTCCGGATTTCTATGTATATTGATTGAAGCTGTATTTTTGTACAAAAAGCATGTTCTATTTTGTGCAGAAATTAAAAGGCAGTGTTTCCTTCCTTGAGAACTTGATTCTTCCAGTTGAGCACCAGAGCAGTGTTGTTTATAGCACAACTGTCTAATAAAGGTGTATGGAAAAAATTTTCCTTTTACTTACCTAGCCCTACTCTTCCCAAACCAGAGTTTAAGCTGTGAAACATTTTTTTAATAATGGCCACCATGTTGCACATTTATAATTTTAGATATTGTTAATTAATCGGCTTGTCTTGCCTGGATTTCTCTGCCTTCAGGATTGAATCCCACATAGGACCTTCAATCAAATGGACTTACCAAGTTGCCAGAGGTGCTCGCAATTTTCCAATTTGGCTATTATTAGATCCCCGAGAGTATGACTGACATGTACATGTTTGCATGTTGTACAGAATCAAGTAAAGTACTTTCCCCTGGTCAATAGGAATTAATCCTCACAAATAAGTTAAGGGTAGTCTTAAAAATCCCATTAGACAATTAAATCCGTAGATCTTTAAAAACAGGACTGCAGCTTTTGCAGGTTTGCATGTTCTATAGAATCATAAACAGTATTTTGTCCCAGAGGAGATCTGAATACATTTCTTATAAATGAATTATTTTTCTATTTTTCTACAATGATTCTGTCATTTTAAAATATTTTAGAATGGGGTTTGTATAAATTTCTTCTAAGAAGAAACCTCATTCTAAAACATTTTAAGAATGTAGTTTTAATCACCAAATTCAAGTACACAATAAGAAGGTTTTATTTTGAAAACTCCTGAGACTGATGGGAGTAAGCCAGCTCTGCATAGTCTGTTCAAGCTGATTCAATGTTGAGTACCGTACTGTGTTCACAAAGCACTGCGATGCAGCAATTAAGCAAGAATGGCAAATCCTATGTCAGGAGGCTTTATACTAATGGAGTTCCTGCAGTGCTCTCAGTCTATGCACAGGCCAAAACCAGGGTTTGAAGAAAATTAGCTCCCACTTAAATTATATTTAAAATAACTTGAATTTCCATTTACAAAACAGCTGATTGCATACTGGACTTTCAGCATGCAAACATAGTGTCTAAGGAGTAAGTAAAGAATGTGATGTAAGTAAAGAATTATTTATTTGTTGTCATCAATCTTCTTTAATCATTCTCTGGTATCCAGATGAGTATATATATATATATATATGTGTGTGTGTGTGTGTGTGTGTGTGTGTGTGTGTGTGTGTATGTGCTTTTTTCCTTCTACATTGAGGTCTGTGTTTTCAACTTACTCTTTCACTTCTTTTCCCCCATTCTTAGGGTGTGTATGACAGCTCTAGAGTTTGAGTGAGTAGCAAAGAGAAGCACTAGAGAAAAGTCCTACTTAACTGGTGTGGATGGATGATTATGACATTAATTCCAAGTAGAAATCTGTAACAAATTATTATTATACAAAGATAATTTGTAAGTATCTAAAAGCAGAATAAATGTGCCAATCTAAACTGGATAAATTTTTTATAATGTCACCGGACTAATAGAGTCAGGCCATGATGTAAATACTTATATTTCAGAAATATTCAACAACATCCTAACACAATATATTTAGGCCAGAATAGAAAATTGTGATCTAATGGGACAGATAAAAATCTCAAAAGGACACTCCAGAATTACCAATTAAGGAGTTAATATAAACTTCATAGGAGGCTTTTGGTATCACTGTTGAAGTCCCTAGTCTAGATTTCTGATTTGAATAATAACATAGATAGAAATATGTACTTATATGTATTGTTCTTTACAACTACTGAAAATATAATAAATATGCTGCATGCAAAAATCAATATCCAACGGATATGGACATTGTAAAAACACAGATCTTAATAACTTTTAATTTAATCAGTAAAAATTAGTTTGTAAATGTCACACGGAATGTTTCAGGGTGATGAAATTCTAAATCTCGCTTGTAGTAGTGGTGTTAAAGTTTGGAATTATACACCAAAATGTGAATTTTGCTACATGGATTTAAACAAAAATATAAATAAGTAAAATCTTTTTACTTTTTTAACAAGAAGATTGAGTTCACTGTAGCTGTCTTTAATTTTTTAGACAGAATGTTTTAGGAATTGTATGAGTAACTATTTTTTCTGAGGAAGAGTTAATGCTTTCCAATATTGTGTAAATAATAAACAATATTTTAAAGATATTAATTTATTAAATTATACAGATAATTTTAAATTTAAGGAGAAAGAATTTACTATGTTTCATAAAGCATTTTCCAGAACTTACAGCTATTTATGTAAAAAATAATTTCACAAAGCATTTAGATTATAAGGTATTCAGGTATTTTTCTCTTGCAGGATATCCAAATGAAGGTAAACATAATGGTTACAGATTTGCTTTTTCTATATTCAGTAAATAATGTTTATTGCTTTATAGTGTACATTAATAAAATGCTTTATACTTACCTACTTGTTTCTTCTAAAGTATTGGAGATTATCCCAGTTTCATTTATCTAAGTTTCCAAACACAAATTCCTAAAATTTATTGGTTTTGCATTTTACAAAATACTGAATACTGGAAACAGATGACTCTCTATCTGTATTCACAGACAATTATCAAAGAGCCATTCCTGGAATAGCAGCATCAACAATGCAAACGCAAGGCCTTAAGCCAGGCTTAGTGAAGCACAGATGTTGGGGTCTGAACTGTTTCAAGTCCTTTAGGTGATTCTAGTGCAAGCCAAATGTAAGAACTTCTGTGTGATAACATCAGAGACAATTCTTAT